TGAGACCTCGAAACGTATATGTTGTTCCCCTTTCTCTTTCGTCGCGTCGGTTTTGCGTCCTTTAGGTTAAGCTAAGCGTCATCAAACAGACGCTTATATGTCGAATTATCATAGTTTTTGAGTAATTGAGTAATGATAGTGAAAATTTATTTGTTCTATATAATTATATGAGCGTGTGTTTATAAATAATTAATATTATCTATCAAAATACTCTAAAATTGTGTAATAATAGTGGAAAGTTTTGTGTTCTATATAATTATATGTGCGTGTGTGTTATAAATATTGCAGCCAACATATTTGAAAAGGGGGCAGAGATAAACGATGGTAATTAAAGCTTTCTGTATACTGTTATTTGAAATACTATGTTACTAGTACAAATAGAATTTTTTAATTTATGCTGACATTTCTACCCTGCCAGCTTATCCAGCAGCCATGCCTAATTTTGTATCAAATGCTGTGTTTGAAAGAGGATTGAGAAAGAAGAAATGCTCTCCACTATGTTTGTTGGAGGAGCTTCAACTTGTGGAGGCTATATTTCTGAGCAAAGATATCAAAACACAATTGGTAATCAAAAGTTTACATAGATTTATTTTATTTGTTAACTTTATCATATACTAAACAAACTTTCTCTTTAGATTCTGTATTTAGCCATCAGAGTCCAGCTATGAAAATCCATTTTTGATGATGGTTTGGCCAAAGAATTTTGCTAGGGACGAGGAAAGGGCAAAAATAAATTTTGTGATCTAGTGCCTTGCGATGTCGTCACAGGTAATTTATATATCTTATACTTATGATGTGTTGTAAATTATGAATTAACTAATATATAATTAATTCCAGGATTGCTTTGAAAAATTTGCCGCATGAGACATAGTTTACTGTTTCAGAGGCTGCAAAAAGCGGCTACGACGTGCCAATAAATATTATACAAGGTATTTTTGTGAGATGTGTACTATATGTTTTTCCTATTTACAAAAAATCATGATTATTGACTGGTTAGTTGTATCAATGTTAGTGCAAAATTTGTGCTGTGTACACATTTTTAGAAGTAAAAAAACAAGTTTAATATTCACTCGTAATGACATCAAATTGTGTCGATATATTTGGAATTAGAGATTATTTTATAAATCTTTGTCTATTTTGATTAATGTATCGCTCTTAAAGAACTTACTCATATATATATATACATATATATGCATTTATTCATTTGTTTTCTATTTCAGGAGAGAAAACCAACCATAAACTAGGATTGAATGCCGAATTAATTATATTTTTAATATTGTAAAATAAGTTATTTTGAATTAAAGTTGTATATATTAAATTTTGTTATAAAATTATCTCAGGATTTTGTTATTTTGTAATAAAAGTTTACTTTGTGAAATTGTGTTCTTTTATTTTATTTTTAATCCAAATTTATTTTTCATCTAAAAAGTAAAAAACAATTCCATAATTATATCCTATTCATGTCCGGTTTATGTCCGGAATATCCCGCGCGGGATATCCTACAGAACGTCCCGTAGGTGCGACATATTAACATGTTTCGGATAAGATCAGGATAAGCGGGATATTCGTAAGGCTATCGCAGGGACAATGAATGTCCGCGCGTGGATATCCTGTGGACGTTTTCCAGGATGTCTTGTGTTGTCTGGGAAGGTGCCTTGAAGAAAGCAAATATTGTTGGATTTCGTTATTACTTAAAAAGTTATGCTTGCAATGGACGTTATATTCGGTAGTATACTGAATATACCAAACATTCGGCCAATTTTTAGTGCCCATCTTGTACAGTGGTGATTATATTTTGCGATAGTTCTGATTGCAGCGGTATACTGAAACAAGTTGTTATTTCAAAAATATATTGTAAAGCGGTGAGTTTTTTTTTCAAAGGCAGATTATATTTTCAGTACGTCTAATATGTTTAATTTCTATTGCACATATTATTGGCCAATAATTCAATATCAAACATGCAGTATTGAGCGCACAGCATATACCTATAGTTCTATAGCTATAGTTTTTCTCTTAAGCTTAAATGGTCTACGGAAATAAGAAATAAACTACTTCCTAGGAAGAAATCCTTATAATTAAGATCAATATGTATCAATGACTACATAAAATAATTATATGAAAAATATAGATTTACACGTACTAAATCGAATTTTTTCATTTTACCAATTGCCTCCCTATACCAAAAAAAATTACTTAGTTTTCGGTATTCGGCCGAATATTCGTTGCAAACCTAATTTAAATGCAATTGAAAATATTATAAATTAACCAATATCACACGCTATATAAAATCACATCGACATATTATATATTAAAGTAAAAAAACGATAATGAAAATGAATAAAAATTATTGTAAATACCTGTGCTGCTTTTAGCGGTTCAGTTACGTCACTCAACCATTTTTCAGCAAGACCTGTTTCAATAGCTCTTCTTAGAAATCGATCAGATCTTTGAAGAAGAGGTGAGTTTTTCTGAAGACCTATGGATACCGGCATATTTATCACGCAGTTATCCATGATATGCAGCGACCGTTGATTTGCCTACAATTTGCAAAACAATATCAATAAAATAGTTTTAGATTTATATGGACTAAATAAACTCTGAATGTTTATTAACTACCAGATGTAGAACTTAATGTTAGTCTTTGGTCAGCTGACTTGCAAATACGTTTTTTTATGATCGCATTTTGAACCGTTTAACTTAAAAATTGGAAAATTTTTAGTAGCTTTAGTATTTTTCAAAATCGCCAGCAACTACTTATTTCAAGCATTTAAATGTTTAAAATTTAATGTTTCTTCGTAATTAATAAACATTAACGACTAAATTTTAATAATAAATCAAAAGGTATTTTAAAAAGATTAGCTGATAATCAGATAGATTAAATTTTAGTAAAGATCGAAAGCTAGCTGTTTCTTTGAATTAACACATCAGAAATAATTTTAATAATTATTTTAAAATTTCCAAAAGCATTCTGCGGGTTTCCTTTACTATATTTAATGAGAAATGGTATTGCTTACAAAAATCAGTTACTTTAAAAAAAATTTAATTTGTTGAAAGTTCTAACATGTAAATTTTGAGAATTTAATTTTTTGAATTTTGGATGCTTATTGCTTTATAAGAATAAATAAATAAACAAAATTTATATAATTGTAATTACATGTATAAATGCATATAAAATATAATATGCATATAATTACATGCATAAAATCAGTATCCGCACTGAAAATGCCAATTAAACGAAGGTAATTAAATTAAGCAGCTAATAAAATACTATTTTATGATTATTTATGTCGGTTTGATCTATCCATAGATAAAGAAATGAATCTAAATATTATCCGACTATCTCATTTAAGTACTTTTTAATTTTTTGAATTTGGAATTATGCATTTGCCATATTTTAAATTGATACAGCTTTTAATACCACAGGCAAAGTGGCGATGAATAATGCAGCGTACCATTTTCGGACACTAAAATCGTTTTTTTTTTGTAAAATACAAAATTTGGTTCAAAGAACGTTCACGCAATATTCTTAATTATTTTTCTAACTAAACATACCTCTTTTATATTACTGATTCCAAGCTCCCGATTAGATCTTTGTTTTTCCACGATCAGCTCACGCAAAAAGTGCTTGTTTTCATAGTATGCAAACTCCCCACGTGCGACTCGATCGACAGCCTAAAAATGAAATTAAAATTATTCACAAAATATTTCTATAAAGAAATTATGCACTTCAATTACCTCAGTTGCGTTGTCTACATCCTCAAATTTTCGACCAATGTTTCTGCCGTATTCGTCCAAAGATGTGACAAAAAATTGCTTATGTTGATCGCCCCAACCACCGGCTGATATTGGTGATTTTGATAGCTGTTCCAACGTGTCTATGCGAATTCTTAAAAAAATTAATTTTAAATGTTTTCAAAGGTTTGAAAATTTCGAAAATTATCAATCAAAACTAAGAAGTAGTGATATCTAATATTAAAGCCAAAAGAGCACAAGAAAAAAATAGGTAGAGAAAAAATGTCAGTTGTAAAGAAATATATGCAACAATTATAAATATATATATATATATATATATATATATATATATATATATAATCTAATATAAAATATTATTTGAAAAACAATTTATTCTGAACATTCTAAAAATATTTCAATTACCTAGGAGCTGGATTAGCTAATATAGCCGTGAGACTAGCTCTATAAGATACAGCAACTAAAACACAGTATAACCAGTACCTGCAAATAAATTTAAATAATCAAATTATATATATACTCGTATATTAAATTATTCATTAAAATGTTAACAAATGCTATTTACCATCCAGTCAACATTCTCAATGACCATCCGGATGGTAAAGTTGGCAGCGACACTACCAAAAGCATACTGAATGTGTATAAAATACTATTCACCATTTCTCCAAAAACATAAAGTCCTCTTAATTCATCTGCAATTTGAACAATCGATCAACTCACCTCTTCATAATGAAAGGGTTTTGATTACTTTTATTAAAATATTTAGTGCTTGATTTTGTTTTAGGGTAAGGTTGCTCAAGTCGTACCACTGCCTAGGTAAAGTTAAATAGTACCAGCAAGCCCAGTAAAGGAAACGTTCACAATTGCCAACTTTGTGAAATAGAGAAATTAAAATGTAAGCTTTTTGTGAAGATTTTACAAATATACGCTCTATAATACACGCTTCTTTTTTTAAGTTTTATTTTAAACATATGATTTCATCTTTCTTAAGTAACTTTTTATAAAATCTATAATGTTTGCTTTTAAATTTACTTATCTGCTTTTCTCCTCTTAAAATTAGTAAAAATGGTATTACTAAAGTACATATTTTAGTCGAATTTAATACTCTAATATTATCATGTATTAAATATTATCACCACTTTGCTTTTAAAATCGATGTTACTTAAATATAAAAGAACGAGAACATAATTTTAAAAGTACTTCCGCTATTTTTAAAGATTATTATTTTATTTTAGATGTTATTTTATTAATTAGGTTCCACTAGTAACTTATAATATTGACCCAAGACTATTTTCTATATATATATAGTGCTTTAATTGCAGATACGACTAAGGCTGTAGGTGGTATGACTAAGGCGATTAGGCGCATTAATAGTAACGAAAGCATATTTTTAAAAAGTATAAAAATACAAAGATTTTAATATTAAACTGAAAATTTCAATTATTGTTGATAATAAACCAACTGAATAAAGATTCAATAAACGCCAAAGATTTTCTTTCAACTTACGTGTACGTGTACGTTTTACTTGCAACCTTACCCTATTAATTAATAATATAAAAACCTATTATAATATTAGCATACCTTCATCTTTCAGTTCCACTTTTTCGTCTTCGTCCATTTTTTGAACAAACACTTGCAAATGCATTTGATATTTAGCCAATCCGAAAAATATAAAGCCCAAAAAGAACAGAGCTATCATTACAGCTAGCCACATCATTGGCCTGCAAAATCAAAGAAAAAAATAATGGTTATTATTTTATTTTCTTATATAACTGTATTTATCAACAAAATCTAACTTGAATGGTAAAATCAGAGTCATCCACGAGTTATCAAAAAGAGCTTCTGGTGTTAGAAAAGTCAGACATTCGGTGCCATAAGGTAAGCTAAGATCCATGTATTGCAGGTTGTATTGTGTGTAATGCAAATCAGCTACAGCAAAATCAGCATAACCTCCTACCTGCATAAAATATTAAAATAAAATGCTATGATAATTCCACAATGAGACGTAGATGATATTTTTATTATTAAATGGGTAATGGGTATTATATCTATAATAGGTGTAATGATCAATTTATAATTTAACTTATAATTACTAATTGACTAGAAATATATTTCTAGACATATAGAATATATATAGCAATAGTATTGAAATACAAGCAATACAGAATATTAAAGTAACTGGGCCGATTGTTCCCTTCAGTTTATGTTTGATATAAATATCCATTGTTATCGGTGTGATTTTTGTTAATTCCGATTAATAAAATTAAAGTTGATGGTTGCGAGTATATATAAGACAAAAAATATATTTGGTATAATTATACAATTTTTTTTTAATTTCGATAATTATTACAACTGTTAAATAATTAACATCCAGTAATGTTGATAAATAATAACATAAATTTAAATAAATAAGAGTGCAAAGGATAGAATTTACATGAAAATAATGTCCGTAATATGATGAAAAATGCAAAATGAATTTTTTTTTGAAAAATAAAGGCTCATATTTATAATGTAAAAAAAAATAAGAAAAAACTATAAATAAAAGATATAAATTATTTTTACAATGAATTTAAGAATGTATACAAATGAATTTTTTCTATAGTATCTGATGAATGGGATATCCCTATCTCGAACATGTAGACAATATAAATAAATAAAAAAATAAATAAATTATTTTTTGAAAAAATATAAATAAAAGATATACATTTTCTTTTTACCATTTCGCCCAATATTCCAGAATAAGTACCGTTTTCGTCTTTTCTACCCCACATTTCAGTGTCTGCATTAGCGGGTTCATACAATTGCAAAGTGAAATTCATTGCTCTTGCTAAAGCTCGCACTAACTAAATAATGAAAGAAAAGTTTAAATATTTTAACACAACTTTATTTTACTAGCAAAATAATAATACATACCTCTATTTCCAAACCCGTATAAACGGTAATAGTTTTTGTTTCCCTAGTGTTACCTTGAAATTAAATAATGTTCAGTAAATACTTTATTTTTAGTATTATGATTAAAATCATTAAAAAAATGTTCACAAATTGATATATAACAAATTATTTTTGATAATATGGTATTATAAACAACAACAATATTATCGTAAAAACACGTGGATTCATTGAACAAACTCTTTAAACTAAAATAATAATAATATTTGTTATTGAATTTTAATTAAATTATAATTCATTAATTTTGAATGTAATTTGACTGATGTCTCACCTATGTATTCAGTTTTTGACAATCTTTTCACAGCTGGTAAATGATTCAATATCGCTACAGACATTGGTAAGCCCAATAAATTGCGCGTTTTATCGCGAAACAGATCCACGCTATAAATAAAAACAATTTTATAAATTTGAAATTGAAATTTTGCAAATTTGGTTGTTTAAAATTTGATTAAATTTACACTTACTTGTTTCTCAAACCATTTCCCTTACGCCAATAATCGAGCTTTTTCAAAACCAATATTCCTTTGACTTTTACTGGATAAGGTACGGTGCTCAATTCATACCATGCGCTGGTTTCTCCTGACTAAAAATAATTAAATACAGAAATCTACAAAATTAACTATATTAATAAACAATATAAAATATATGACTTGCAATACAATTTCAAAAATCATGTTAATATAATCAATAATCAATAATCCAATCGACTTGGAGACTCAGATTCTACCGAATTTTAAAGTTGCGACGCTACAAGTTTGAAATTTTAACATGGCCAAAATTTACTTCAAAATTTACTGAATTTTTATATTTAAACATTTAGGCCTATAATATTTTTGTTCTGAACGTTTGTTAAGAACATGATCGACCTCTACTATCAATCAAAGATTGGTCAAATCGGCTTAGCCAATCTCTCTCAAGAAGTTTATGTTACGTTATAGAATTGTTAAGTTTGTTTAACAGTAAATAAAAACGAATAAATATATATCGCCGCAAAAATAATCACATGACAATAATACCTAAATAAGATCAAATAATTTACCAGAGGTACTTACTTGGGAATGCGACTTCGATTTTTTACTAAAACGCCTTATGAAAATAACTCTAACAATTCTATACCAAAGATAATGTGCATCTGGCGCTAAAAGTTTGTAATCATGCAGCATGATGTATCGCGCACTTGTATCCAACACTCGGGTTCTGTAATTTTGAATAAAACAAACATAATTTTAAATATAATTAATGTATTTATACACGTTGAATTTTAAAGTATACTAACTTGTCTCCAAACATCAATAATCTCACGGCTTGGTACGGATTTCCAAGTAAGATAACATAAGTTTCGCAACCATCGTGCCTAACACCTTCTATAGCGTCAACGGTATCATCATTTGGAGAAAGAAGATCCTCACCATGTTTTACAACTATCTGCAAAATAAATTTATGTCTAAGTAATCTTTTTTTCTATTCAACGTTTTATCTATTTTATTTACCATAAAGTAAGTGTGCCTCCTATAAGTATCCATAAGCTCTCTTGTAAAAATGCGAGAATGCGGTTTGTCGCTTAATAATGCTAGACAATGTGCCCTTCTACTGTATTTTGGCGAAATATCAATTAATAAATCTCTTACTTCTCTCAATCTTTTATTTTCTTTTTTCAAAAATAAATTCGTATCAATCGTAGACTGTCTGCAAATGAAAGCGGATATATATCCGCGATAATGAGATACTATAGTTATCTCAAAGCCACTTTTATAATAAAATAGTTTGATTAATAAAATTTAAGGCTATAATATAGAAAAGAAACTATAAAATATTTAAAGAAATAATAGTACAGAACTGATACGACTAATATTATTAGAATTATATTACTTTGAAAAATACAGAGTATTATAAAAATTCTATAATGTAATATTCTAAAATATTAGTACGTTCTAAGAATGTTACATTATAGAACTTTTGTAATACTCTGTAAACGTACGTTTAAAAAATACAAATTATTTAATATTTCAGAGTAATCTTCAGTGAATTGTAGAAAACAGCTGCAACTGCAATTCATAAAGATAAAAAATTTAATTGTGTTCAAGTTGTGACAATATTGATTTGACTTTATTTTTGGATGAGCTAAAAACCAATCGAATTAAATATTAGCTCGAAATGTATTATTAATATTTTTAAAATTTTTAAAAACAATAATAAAAAAGAAGTATAGTAAATAATTTTTCATGATCTTTTCGTGAAAGTATCGTAATTTGATGAAAGTTTTACGTTGCCCACACTCTGATTTTAGATTAAATTTTAGAAACCTGAAATATATAAACGCGATTTAGGAAAAAAATATAAGGTTGTAATTCACGGTGTTCTTATATTCATCATACCAAATAACGTTCTGAGTTATCGTTAGCGCGAAAAAATAATTTTTCGTTTTGAATTTTTGGGCAGTGCTGTTGTTTAGACTATTTTTAGTTAATATTATTCGAAATTCACTATTTTTTTCTTATACTTCCCAAAATTTTGTCTTATTCCAAAGTAGAACATGTTGAAAAGTTGAAGAAACCTGAGCTAGTTTGGTATACAAACTACCTTCGCAATTGATTGCGATATTTTATTCAATTACTTATATTAGGCTTACCCGATCACTCTAAAAATTTCATTTGTATTTGATAATATTATAATGACTGTTAATGAGACATTCAAAGCGAATTTATTAATCATTTTATACCAAATATATTTATTTAACTGCACTTTACGATAAAGCAACCAATTCAAACCATTTCAAATGTAACAGTTAATGAATTTCCTAACGTTTTGTGAGTTAGAACTAAAACCTATTACAAGTATACTAAATACGAATGAATTTATATAAATTTTTAAAAGACTCATTTAGTTTCTTCTTCGAAACGTACGAATATTTGTAAATAATTAATTTTCAATTACACGTTGTGTGCTACTTTACATGCGCTATAAGCAGCTACTATGATGAATACAATGAATTTTACGAATAAATAACTGCAGTAACAAGATGAAAAAATATCAGTTGCATGAATATATTTCATAATTATAAAATGATTTCGATTTCGTTAATAAACAAATATCACGATTTGTTTCTAGATCTGCGGTATCTTTACTAATTCTGTTGGAGTTTGAAATTAGACTTTATGATCATGCTGCTTATTTGAAGCATAAGATCACTAGATTCTAAAATTATCATAGGATTTGAAATTATTTAGGCTGTAACAAAATATTTGTGTCAATCAAAAAATTTTTACAGTAAAGTAAAAATAAAAGAAAACAATTATAGAGTATTAAATAGAAATAGTACAATTAAAAAATAATAATAAAGCTAATAAAAAAATTATCCTGTTTTTTCTGTAGTCATTTACTTGTGGACTAGGCAGAGTTCCAAATGGATTTGTGTTATTTGTAAAAATAAGTGAAAATTTGATTCGTCGCCTGTGAATTATATTTACGTAGTTTGCAAGCGCTAATTAAGTAAATATAATATTAAGCCCTTTGACAATGCCATAAAATCAAATCAGGAGTAAAAGCCATAATTGGAGTATGACCAGATAATTTTGGAACTAAGAATTAAGTACTTATTTCTTATGAACATAGAGACGCAATGTGAAATTTAGCGAAAGTCTCACCTTTGATTTTACTTTGAAACAAGTGCGGAATGCCAATTCTTTTTTGTTTTTCAAAGCAGTTAGAATGCATGGGATAGACCAGTTGCCAACTTTTCTGAAACCAAATTGCAAATCCACCATTCCCTGTGATCTTCCAGTAATCGTGTAGCAGTAGTTTCTCAATTATTGGTTCTGGCCCATATACAACTATTTTGGTTTGTCGAGAAATTAATTAGCTATAAAAAAAAGCAACACCTCGAATATACATTGTTTAGCATTATAAATCTATTAATGATTATCAAGTAACTTGTAGCTTTTAGACCTATACTATGAATGCTAAAGATAAATGTATTTTATCAAAATGCAAATTTATATATATTCTGATCACATTTTTACCTAAAAAAGCATTCCATCCATTTAATCCATGAAGCAAAACACTAATGTTTCTTCCGTAACATTAATATAAATGCATTTCTGGTTAATGCAGATATTTTCTCCTTTCCTGGCCGATCATTCTGCTGGAAATTTCACAATTTTAATTTACCTTTAATATATGAAATGTATTAGATTATAAAACAATGGTATGTAGGTTTACAAAAGATATATTTCAAAAAAAAAACTACAATCCAAATTAATAAAGAAAAAGCTATATATGCATATATGAATCATTATAGGTCTATTAACATATAACTCAAAAATCTATATAAAAAATAAACTTCACAGAAAAACAAGCCAAAATACACTATCATATATCTGACATGAATTACTATCATTAATTTACTATCTTTAAATTCACAAAAATATTAAAATTATTACTAAGTCTATGACAAATGTTATATTAAAATTTTATACTAAAATATATTTATGTATATATGGATGACGCAGTGCACGAATTGTTTTAGAATGAATTAGCATTTTACCCGAGTTTTCACATAAATAACACTTAATACTAGTTTTTCACAACTTTTCTAAATTAAACAAAGAATTATGTTAATTAAAGAATGGCAAATTGACTTAGATACACATGATAAAAAGAAATATATATATATTAAAACAATTTTAATAAAACCTAACACTTCAATTATAAAAATACCAAATAGTAGTGAACTTTATCACTCACATATACATAAACAATACTATTTTAGAACTAAATAATATAAACACAAAAACATAGCTTTAGAAAGTTCACAACTCTGCTCGTTAAAACAAAATATGAACTATTAAAAATGATATAGACATGTGAGGGACAATTTTAATATCTTGTTTTACTATCAATTTGCAATTAATATCTGTATATGCAGTTTCATTTGTGTATAAAATGTAATAAAATATGATTTTGTTCATTCTAAAATTTTACAATAACCTTATATATATAGGATAAAATCATGAAATTAACAAAATAGTATATAAATATATTTACAGTTGCGCTAATCTATTATCATAACAGTATAATTCATAATTATAGTTTAATCTAAGTCAATAATGTTAGGATTTGTAAATAACATAGCATATAACCAATAAGTACAAATATAACATTAGTTACACATGTACATATGTGGAAAGTTCTGTCAAATTTGAAGATAATTTTAAAAACTACAAACTACAACCCGTTTAATAAAAGGCTAGTTCCTACCAGTAACAAATGATGAATATTAAAATGTTTTATGGTTAAGAAACTAATTTTATGACAAACAAATCCTCACTGCCTTACTCTAGACTAAACCTTAATCAGAAACCTTATCTATCTAATATGTATGTACATTTCATCTTAAATTAACTAATTCACTTTAATGTTGCCACTAAACTTGATAATTGGTAGCATTCATTTTTTTGTGCAATGAAGGCATACATAGGCTGTATGTGAAACTTCACTGCATTTTTTGAATCAAAACCATTACTTAGAATTTTCATCAGTTTTAAAATATATAAAAATAGTTTTTGTTATGAAAAATAAGTTATTTACAATTGATCTATTTTTCACTGGGTACTCAATTACAGATTAATAACTAATTATATTATTTGTAAATATATTACCTAATTTATACATTCATTAAAATATATACAATTTTAATTACATGACTTCTTGTGTAGGTGCTTGTTGATTTTATAAGAAATATAATGTATCAAACATGCAATTATGACATTTTCTGAGAATGTAAAATTCCAAAAAATGCCTAAGCTAAAAACTTATAAAAGTTTATGTGTAACAAATCAACATATTTCAGCATACACAATGCGTTTTAAAATAAGTTATAAATAATTTCCTTAAAATCGACAGAATTCTTATGCATCCGTTTCAACCCATTCTGCAAAGCCACGAGCAACTAATTCTTGATTTACAAACATCACTTGCTGCAGATCAAACAAACACAATTATAAAATATTTGGTAACAAAAAAAATGAAATATTCAAACTAATTTTTACTAACTCAAAGTAGCGCTACTATTATGCAAGTAAAATAATCTCATTATTGAAATGAATCAAGCTTTTCCAGCCATTATAGCAAAAACTATACATTATTATTTTTGATAGTTGTATAAAGTATTAAATATATTACTACTTCAATATTGTGAACAAATGAAATTTAACAAATATTCTTCTTAAATTGAAAAAAATAATTATATAATAAAATTATTAGAGTTAAATATCATTAGAGAGTAGGTGTGATAAAATAAAATATTACTTACATTTGTTGCTAGTGTAACATACAAGTGCACAAGTGGGACGTCATCAAGAAAACCATAAATTTGAACTTGCAACAAGCGACCATATGTTAAATGTCGCAAACACTCATCTGCTTCATTTGACCATTGTAAAGAACCTTGTAATAGAAAGATGTTCGTTAGTAATATTATGACTAGATATACAATTAATTATAGCTCTTTAAATATGTGGTAATGATTAATTTCAAAATTATACCATTAGAAAACATGAAACATGAAAACAGATGCTGAACTTAATACATTGTTACAAAACGTAAAATACAATACAATATAATATATATATATATATATATATATATATATATTTTATATATATATGAATTACAATAAATTATAATAAATTAACTACTAAATCATATATATATATATATATATATATATATATATATATATTATTGAGTCATATTAATATTAATAATAAATATGAAAAAAGCTATTTATCCAACTCACCATTTGCTGGTTGAACATTTGCTAATAAACAATCAACAGCTTGGAAGGGTAGCATCATTAAATCAGCTCGAATTTGTCTTAATTTTGACACTTCCGTTACAACTCTGCTTCCATAATCAACTAATCTTAATTCAACTTGATAATCTTCAGTCTGCTCAGTTTGTTCAGTCTGCTCACTCTTTTCATTCAAATCATTATTTTTTGGCTCAAAAACATTAGTTATTTGAGCTCTATACCAATGACAATCTAATGGACAAGCACATACCATACCAGCTAAAATTAAATTATAGAATTAAAATGGATTTTCAAGTTAACACAAAATTCAAAAAGGATATTCCCATAATAAATAAGGTAATTTAAAAAATATGTCATTTTATGTAAATAGGTATATTCGATATATAAAACAAGAAAAAAAAAAGGAATTGATATCTACCTTTAACTGGTAGAGGTAGTCTAGGATTATCATTTTGAGAATATGTTTGTGCCATGCAGCATTGTAATAAACTTAAACTAGGAAATGATGGATGTAAAGGCTGCTGCAAAGATACTATTCCACCATTTAAAACACAGCTCACTGTACAGTCATTATTTACACCCTCGATCAGTTGCAACTAAAATGATATATGAAATTAAACATAGCATTCGATACAACAAAGTAATGTTTTTCTCAGTATAAGATCTAACTTCAAACAATACATAGTTTACAAATATAAATCTTCTTACCGAAACGCATTCAGGTGATATTTCAGGTGTTAATACTGCCGGAGGAAAACTCACTCTTTGTAAAGTAAGATTGGGGTATTTCTTTTCAGGGAATTTCTCTCTAATCATAACCAATGCAGCATCAATTTCTGTTTGAAGACCATCTATGGCACATATCTTGTATTTTGATAAGTTTTCAGGATGGTTTTTAATAAGTATATTTGCTCCTGTAAAACTTTTTATTTTGTTGACAAAAACACCATTTCTTCCAATCAAACGACCAACACAAGTCTGTGGTATAATAAACTCATAAGTTGTTGCAAGCTCACTTCTGGGTGAAGAACCTTTTCCACTATCCTCAGAATGCTGGAATAAGAACAATGAAATTACTATACGCAATAAATAAAAAACATAAAAATTGCACTTTGAAACCTAAAAACATTGTAAAAAAGATCATAGTAGTATCTTACCTCGCTGTGTCTATCAGAATATGCACTTAGTTGAGGACTGCTAGACATATTTTCTGTAGGGCTGTGATACGCTGAATCTCTGATGTTCTCAGTATTTATATTTTCAGTGTTTTCAGTTTGGCATTCTAATTCACACAATTCCTCTGACCAGTCATTTCTCTCATTATCTTCAACAACCTTATTTGCTTCAGATTCCACAGAAGTCATTTTTTCGGAGATACTGATTTTTTCAAGACTTTCAATTGTTTTGCTGGTGAAAATATCTTCTTTCTCTTCAGCCATGGCTTGTTCTTTCTGAATATTCAATTCAGGCTTTAATGATTCACTTTTAACTATTTCTGATTCAACTTTTTCTACTTCTTCCTTAAGATTTTCTTTCTCAATGTTTTTTGACACTTCTTCCTTAATTTCTGGTTGATTGTCAGTATTTTCAATTTTGGCCTCAACTACTGCTTTATTAATTTCTGATGACTCTTCAGCCTTATCAATTACTTGAGATTTGTTAGTTTTTTCTCTGGTCATTTCTTCAGGTCTTTCAAATAAAGTTTCCCTCTTTTCCAAGCTGACAGATTTTATTGGCACACGATTGAAGCAATAATCCTTTTCTTGTGATTTTTGTGACTGAATTTTAAGGATCTCAATATCTAGTTGGTCGTCAGTCAATTCAACTGGAGATCCAACAGGTATATCTATAGGCAAAGACTTATTCAATTCTGGTTTTTCAGTTTTACCTAAGTTTTCCTCAATGATAACCTCTAGTTGTTTAGATTTATCGCTTTCGAATGATTTTTCAGCA